GTGTGTACGTGTGGAGTGTGTGACTGTAGACGTGTGTACGTGGCCCTGTCGGTGCACATGTACGTGTGCGGAAGTGTGTGACTGTACATGTGTGCACTCAGTGGGGTTTGCTCGCTCACATGACTAGACACCCCAGCCCCCACAGGTCTGGCAGACACCAGCCCCCAGCAGCTCCCTGCTCTGGCCTGAGCCCCGTTCCTCTCTCCCTCCTCAAGCTCAGGCCTGGCAGGTGTACAGGGAGCGCCTTCTGTGGCCTCGTCTGCCCGCTGCACACCTACCCTGCCTGTTACTAAAGCAGCTGGCTGAGCCCTGTGCAGGCCCCCTGCTCCCCTGAGAGCACAGCCCACAGCCACAGCGGCCTCCGTCAAGGCTGCAGAACAGGCCCTGAACTCCCATTCTTCTCTGACATTTTTGGGGGCTGCCCCTTGGGAGGAGCTGGGCCCTGGCTAGCAGAGATGGGTCTCTGGAGGGCGTGGTGAGCCCAGGCAGCAGGAGGGGACCGGAGGGCCTGCTGCCGGCAGATGGCCCGTCATTTCTCACAGGACACAGGCTAGCTGGACCTTCCTGCTGAACGCCTGCTGCTAAGACGTGCACACTGCATGTGTGTGTACCCTGTGAAACACCCCCACGTGCAAGTGCACCCCCCTACAGACACAGAAGCACACCCAGTCAGGCACGTGCTGGCACGCTCACATGTGTGCACATCCCGTGATAACACACGTGTGCAAGGGCACCCACAGTGAGGCAGGAGATTGCACACTCACACACACTTTGCAGCACAAAGTACCAGAGAGGTTTCTGATGGAAGCTGGTCCTTATGGCCGTTGAGAAGCCCCATGCCCGAGGACACAGGGACAGAGTGCAGGCCCGAGCGGACAGGGGCTCTGACCACCTGGTACCCCACACTGAACCACTGGCCAGTGTGCTCTGGGAGGGCGGGGCTCAGGGTGTCCTCAGGCCAAGGCCCCACAGCGGGCTGCCTGCCCACCGCAGAGGCCCCGAGGAACTCGCTGGCAACCACGTAGGCAGCAGGAGGGCCTCCCCCGGAGGATGCAGGCCCCCCAGGCGCTGGTGGTTCTTGTTAGGAAGCTTCGGGCATGATCAGCACACCACAGCCTCGCCACAGAGCCGTAGCGAGTAACGCGGTGTTTCTGCCCCACGGACCGTGAGCGGCGGCCTCGCTCAGAAGATCCTTCCTCTCAAAGCCTGTGTCTGAGCTCCGGAGGCACCCAGGCCGGGGGAGGGGCTCGGCCGGGAGGTGGGAAGGGGGCACAGTGGTCCCAGCTCAGACCTGCTCCGCTGCTGAGACAGGGAAGGGGGTGTCTGCATGGGGACCGGGAGGACACCCAAGCCCCTCCTCAGCCAGCATCTGGGGGTCCCAGTGGTGCTGGCCTGGCCTGCCCTGTCCTCACTCGGGGCCGCGGTCCCCTCCAGGTCTCATCCCCAGGATGGGCAGACACCTGTCCTGTGACACGGGGTCCCACCAGGCAGAGCACGTTGTCCAGTGCCCCCAAGCTGCCTCTCAGTGAGTGACGAGGTGTCCGACCAGGTCCCAGCTGAGTGTGGCTGATTCCAGGCTCCGAGCCCACTGCCGTGGTGCTGTCCCATACACTCCTGGTGGCACGAGAGGGCAGAAGGGCCACCCGGGTGACTGAGCGCCCACGGCCCCTCCTCCATTATCTACATCTGCGTCAGCACACACTGGGGCAGCAGGCGGAGAAGGCAGCGTCAGGAGGGCAGGTGACACAGGCCTCCAGTGAGGAAGCAGGGCCTGCCCTTGGTGGTGCTGGGCAGTGATGGGGGTGGACAGGGCAGCCAGGACGGGGGTCCCCAAGCACCCAGATCACAGCACGTGGGTGTGCGCCACAGCCAGGCTGGGTCCTGGAGGATTGTGGGCTGCTGGCCTGGTCTCCCACAGACACTGCGGCCGGTGAGCATCTGTCCACTCTGGAGACGCCAGAAAGCAGCTTAGTCATCAGAAAATAGTTTAATTATGTACAGGGTGATCATCAAACTGATTCCATAAAACAAGATGCAAATGTACACCTCTGGGGTCAAAGGGAAGAAACGCACGCTTAGTGAGCGTGGCCTTGACCGAGCGGCCGTCCTGCGACGAGGTGCCGGTCACTAACACGCAAAGAAATCACCAACCGTGAGAACAGAGGAATGTAAATCAACACTTTCCTTTGGGACGAAAGAAAGAGAGGAAGCGCCAGCAGAAGCCTGAGCTCCGGAAGGCTCTCACCCGCGAGGGCACGTCTCCGAGGACGGCGGCTGGCACGAGGCCCAGTGGCCACCAGGCCCACAGGCGCTGGTGTGCACGGAGGTGTCCGGCCGCCACGGCCCCGCTGGCCGAGGCTCAGAAGAGGGCTTTGGCACCCTGGTTCTCAAACTCGGACCAAGCGTCGTTGAGCTCCATGAAGATCATCTTGGCGTACTGCTCGTAGGGCTGCCCAGTGGCCTGCGGGCGAGAGGGGACGAGTGCTGCGTCCACCACTGTTGCCTGCAAGTGCTCGCTGGGGCAGGCAGGTGGGTGGGGTGTAACCAGGGACATTGAGGCCCAGGGCAGGCAGGACCTGGCTGTGCCTGTACAGGCCCTGGGTGGGCGGTGGGGCCAGGGCA